CCCCCTGTTGCGCTACTTCGGTCGCGTTTCGGGCTGTTGTTCGTTCCTCCAGCCCCCCCTGCGGGGTGTGCGCTCTTCTGATATCGGTCTCTCTTTTACACCCTTTCTCTGGGAATTTGGGTATAAGTGGTTAAGTCCATTGGCACCCGCCTCATCTAATTTTCGTTTAGGCAATTTAGTTTATCTTTATTTTCAACGAATTAGTTTAGAAAAATTTACATTTCCTTTTTAAACCTCATAGATATCATTCCTTATTAGTGATATTCTAATGTAATATTGTTTTTAATTTTTCATGTCTGTAACACTTGTTTATGATTACATTTAAATCAGCTAATATACCTCCTTTTCATTTTTTTAATCGATGTAATTTCTTTGCTCAAACGTGAATGGGATTTTAAGCGCTATTTTTAAAAAATTAGCTTATTTTTATATACATTAGGAAATGAGGAAAAATATTTGAAATTATAGTATGATCATGTATTGTACATTGAAAAAACTATTTAAGTTTTCAATAAACAACAAGTTTTATTATTAACTGTAAAAAAATGTTTTTTTTTGGAGGGGTGGGTGAGTTTGTACTGAATTAATGATTTCTAATATGCAATAACGCATGATTTTTTGCTTAGATTATTTCGAATGCGAAAGTGATTTCTTGGCATTAAGTCATCTTAATACAACCTAATTGGAAAACAAAAGAGATGCTGACATTGAATTTCAGGCTTTTAAAAATTAAAATTTGTTGGATTTAAGGAAATTTGTTTAAAGATGCAAAAATTTCTTTATATGACAAAAAAAAGAAATTATAACTGATAATATACACTTTACTTATTCTTAAGATTTTAAAGACTGTGTAAACATTTACCACTTTGTAATAGAAAAAGGTAAAATTAAGAGAAATTTTTTATATAAGTATTAACATTGATTTTGATGCTATAAAATGTAATAAAAACTTTATAAATTTTATAGATGGCATACAGATTTTGAACAAAATGTTAGTTTTCAAACTCGTTGAATCTCACTCAAAGTAAAACATTTTAAAGATGTTATAAAAAGTGTTGCTGATCACACTGTTGATAAAAAGTATGAAAAGAATGTTGATAAAAAATATAAGCTGATCACACACACAGAAAATATTATATTATTTTAGGAATAATATTGAAGCTGAGTAGTAGAGTGCATCACGCTTCCACACCACAGGTGCTAGTTTCAAACCCCGGGCAGGGTATGGTCGACTCAGCCTTTCATCCTTTCAGTGGATAGATAAATGAGTGCCATTCTTGCTTGGGAACTGAACACTGGGAGTTTCGCGTCATATTGACCACATGACCGAAGCATCTGCTCACGCAACTCACCCAAGGTCACGTATACTGAGATGGGCACAGCAGATCTTAGCCCTCATAGGCTGTTGCGCCACTGTTAGGAATAATATTTGATTACAAAATATAAATGATCAAATTAGAAAAAGCAGTTGAAAGTACAGAATTTAATGTACAAAGAGGAATAAACATTTTCCCACTTTAGTATGATTATAATGCAAACACACAAATACCATTATTATATAATAAATTATTAGCTTTATATGGAGATAATCTAAAATCGTTTATAGAATAGCAAATCGATGAAAATCTCAATAACTGGAGAGAGAGAGAGTGTGACAATTAATGTCGCTCTGTTCAGCTACACGAGGACAGACCTCGTAATTTTGAACCAAGATCAAGTGACGAGGACGACACCTGAGCTGGCACCTCTGTCTTAACTTCCACACCACACCAACGAGAAGACGTTTGAGCCTCAATAGATTTAACGTGCATCAATACTTCTACATGCCGGCTAATAAGTAGATGATAAATATCGAATATTCTTTTATTTTTGGAATTTATAATCATATTTAGTTTTTATACCGGTTGAGAAAAGTTTCTCTCTCTACCAAATTTTCAATAAATATAGTTCCACCTTTAGAATTAGATTCAGTAATTAATTTTTAAACTTTTTCATAATCACACGATAAATCTTTTTTTAATATTTTCTGACACAAATACAAAATTATTCATTAAGAAAAAAAGTTTTTCAAAAATGTAATAGTCTTTGAGTATTTTGTGTTCTATACATTTCTTTAACTAGCCTATCCATTTAAATTCTAAGAAAATTGGTGTAATTGAGTAAAAAAAAATTCTGATATAAAATCTGAATCCACGTAACAACTCAACATTAGAATCATGTGTTAAATTGAGAATCACAAACTATACCCCTGATATTGCGACATGAAGTATAGCTTTACAAGGGTGCAAAATTCTCATTATAAAATAATGCTTATATTTTATGTTGTTTATTTTAAACTAGCAGTGGATGACACTTGATGTTAATACCGTTTTTTTCCCCCTTCAAATATTAATTCATTAATTAAATTTTAAAAAAAATGAATAAAAAGTAACAAAAATAATAGTCCAACAGCATATATAGAAAGAAAAATCGTTTGTTGTGTCCCTGTTGAGCAATTAGCGCGTTGGACTTCTAATCCAAAAGTCGTGGGTTCGAATCCCTCCTGAGATGGCCTAATTTCTGTGAGAATGTGATTTCTTTCTTACAATACTATTTTATTGGAATAATTCAGTTAAATTAATGAATAAATAGTAACAAACAAACAAAAAAATAGTTTAACATCATATATAAAACGGAAAATGAAAAACTGTAAGGAAAATCACTTTCTAGTTTGTTACTTAATATTGTAAGTCGGTCATATGTATATACATATTTATATTAATTGTAACTAAAATAAAAAATTTTCTTTGTTGACCTAAGAAGGAATTAAGTATCTTAAATATCATCCAAAGAATAATTTTTGAACACATATCCTCACTGGAAAACATTTTTCTTTTAATTAATCTGTAAGAAATGTACATTTTTTTTATTGATAAGTTAGTACACTAAATAATAAGTTATGAAATAATGCTGCTCTCTCTGTTGTTACTAATGCCACCTATCTGACGATGTCAGATCGAGTCCTAATAAATTCATCGCTGCAAAGGGCTACAAGTATGCCTGTCGTTAGCCGTAGCTTTGAGCACCATTCAGGTAACAGTACGTTTTGGCTCGGTTCCACCCCAATTTTGAGGGAGAACATCTTAGGGGTGATCAGGGGCCTCCCTCTTGGCTGCTCTTTCTAAAAATAATTAATTACATGTGGGAAATAAGCAATGCATATTTATGATATTGATTCCGTTTCCACATCACAATGAGGTAGGAATCTCGATGCGTTTTTATTATAGAGGTATCGCCAGGAGCCATAATCCTCTCCATCGTAATCTTTCACTTTATGGAACAATCTGGACAAAGCCAATTTTTATTTTTGACCCATGCTTAAAATTGACGCATTTCCAATGGTACCAGTAACTGCAATCATCACACTGAACCATATTTTTTAAAGTCGTTGCACTTTCACAATGATTGCAACGCCAAAAGTTTTGCTTCAATGTAATTATTTTTTCTACTTTTTCCCAAGCTTGTGCAGTAAATAATTCTTGTACAGATGTCAAATCATGATTGATAATAGAATCCGTAATTTCATTATCAGGTTTTAAATCCTGTACACTAAAAAGACCTTTATTTTTGAAAGTAGAATCTGAAACATTTTTATTTAAAATATATTTTAAAACATTTTGTTGTTGGGTGCTTAGAATAAAATATATATGATTTTCTAATCTCCTCTTTTTAGCTGGTTTTACGTTTGGATCTTTTAATTCTTCAGTTACCTGGGATTGTAAGCAATAAGCCTGATGATCAGACTCAGGAATG